TCGTCAGGCATGGCACATCTCATCATTGCATAACGGCTTCTCATTTTTACCAAGCTTCTGTCGCCTGGATGTGGCGGTGGCACGTACGACGCCATTAGTCAGCATTTTGACGTTGGAGAGGGTATTGTTGCCAAGGTTCGTCCGAGTAGCCGCCGCAATTGTCAGTTTGCTTTTGAGTATGTAAGGCAATACCATGCGTGGTCCACATTGTTGACGCTGCGACACGCGTGGCATTTTGATACAGCACACAGAATAAGCGACGCTCTGAGCGGGCAGAGATACCAAGCCGCACTGAGGCGAGGTCTGGGCTCAGAGGAGTCTGCGGAAATAATGACCGTACTTCATTTAATTTGAGCTCAAGCCCTAGCGAGATCCTGAGGATTTCTTCAGCAGGAAAAGCATGTACTGTATATCAGTCAAAAAGTGTGTTACGATAGCCGACTTTAGAAAAGTCGGTTGAATATCCTGGAAGTGTCCACGACGAACGCCAGCTCAACTCAATGAGTGTGTACCAGCATCCTGAGAAGTCTTTTGATCGCAGGCAATTGTTTTCTTGGCGATGCTCCCTACGGCCTCCCCGTAATTATGTCTGGTCCGTTTAAGTCCACACCGTCCGAGGTTCCCTACAACAAGTGCTCAAATCACCTACTTTTGGCTCAGCGAATAACCATCGATCCCACTATTGGAATAATAAAATCCAGATTTGGTAGATTGCGAGATGGATTTCGCAAAATCGTGCGCGAAAACGAAGATAGTGATCGTGTCGTACTTCTAATAACTGCGGTGTGCGTGCTTCGCAGCTTTTGCATTGTACAGAACGATACATTTCACTGAGACTATCGCATCGGAACTGATCATAATCCTGTTGAAGCTCTTCGTGAAGCCGACATAACATCAGAATGTAAGGCTTGGCGCTTGCATGTACAAAGCGAGGTTTCAGAATTTAATGGTGTCAGAGCCAAATATCGGGTAGTCGTGTGTCATCATCCTTCAGTCAGCTATTCCCTGTATATGATATTATACTCTTTCTTCTTTGATTCGTCGATGTGGTCATCTGCTTCTACTCCAAAACCCACCGATTGTCCTTCTTCTTCTTCTGCGTTTCTACCCGCTTGTGCTCCTCCTGTCGACCAGTAGCTCCGTTCATGCGCCCGCTCACGATATCTTCACGTTTGGCTAATCGTAGCTGCATGAGCTCCTCGTGTTATTGTCGCGCAATACGGGTCTGCTCTTTTATGTCGCTCTAGTATTACCTCAGTCTTTCGATTCTCAAAGTCCAAATCTTTTCAAATTCTTGCCACCGGAAAACAAAACATTTTAGCGAGCATTTCGCGCTCAAGCGTTACATACTGCTCGCCTAGCTTAATCAAATTATCCGACAAAGCGTCGGCAGCACTCTGCTTGCGTGCTTGTGAAGCACTGGTTGTCGTGTCGTTTTTTCTACAAAAGCCGTACGTGCGATATTAAATGAGCTTGGGTGCTCCCCCGGCTAGTGAGAGGTCTCAGTGACAAGGGAGGCGCCATTCGAGTGCTAGGAAAGCACAATTGAGCGTTTCGCTAAGCTTGGTGAAAGGTCTGTCGATACATGTCCGTTTGCCGAAGACACGCCACTCTCCATTAGAATCGGAGGATCCACAGCGGAGCGTCCTCCAAGAAGCTCATGTATACAGTAATAAAGAGGAAACCTTTGCTCCACTCACGCATGCAAAGCTGTCTTTTCCATCATCCGCTATACCAAAACCCGTAGTTGAAAGTATTAGATGTATGTCCATATAGCGCTTTTCGATTTCAATGCAATTTGAGCGCGCTTGATCTTCGGAGTTTTGCTCCATACCAGTCGACGCTACCACACTTCTATAAAACGGATAGTTCGGCTTGTCATCAATGTGAATTAATCAATTTTCTAAAATAGTGGCACCTCTTCCGATGTCTGCCGGCGCGTAGCTGCCATAGTTTCCGCGCAAGTGTCTGCCGGTAAATGCGCGCGATCAGCGCCCATAACTGGTTGTGTCCCACACTTCTTTCCAGCGTCGAAGCGGTCTGAGGTGCGGACGAGTCGGTGGTGCTGCTGATTTTGGTGCCTAGCTGCTGCCACTGGGATCACAGGGCTGTGGGCATGTAGACCAGTTGAAGCCGCAGTATCTCCATAGCCACTGGATGTAATGTCCACTGGGGGTGGTACTAATCCAGCCAGCTGTAGTACAGTAGACCGCAGTAAACGCGCTGTTTGTATCCGCACAACCAATGACCTTGTAAAGCGAGCGCTCTAGCCTCAGCTAAGCATCAGCCAAAACCGTGCCTGACTCGAGAGTATCAGTGAACAGCGTGCAGGTCTTGACCACGGAGATAGCAAGTCCATTTTAAAAGGGGGTATTTTTTAGATCTAACTGCGTCCTGTAAATTTCTATGGCCTGATCGCAATCTACAACCATCTTCTCATAACGCATCTTGCAAAAGGACTGCTCAGCAAACATTTGGAACCAAAAAAAAGTGAAATTTTCGCAGGTTTCAGGGAAAACATGCTTAGCATCACCTCTTCTTCTCTGAAACCAGGTGAAATGGAACAACCCGTTCCAAGAAAGATCCGCATCAGTGCACATTTGCCAGGTGCCTCATGCGGTTCCTAATACCTGGAACTTCCAAAACTCAATATCATCCCGCTTGTTACCAACCCCCCCCTCCCCCGCAGTCATGAATAGCGATGCGCCAAGCGAGTCTACATCGGGCACGTCGCCTTCGAAGCGTCCTCACCCTCCACTAATGCATCGACTTATGTGGCAACAGCGGACTTCATTCCCTCGGAAAACAGTGTTGCTCTTTCTAAGCGCAGCTGGACAGACATAGACACGCTATAACTTGTCCGTGCTTGGTATGCAGAAAGGAAGAAAAAAAAACGAAAAAACAGGCATGTACAATAAACGAATCTTCGCAGCCATCGAAGCTGCTATCCCAGCTACCAAACGCTAGAAGAAGCCGTGGAGGACAAATTGCAAGCCTTCCACGAGGTGTATCGGTTTATCAGAGATGTAAATGCAAACATGATTGTTGGAAGCATCGGTAAACTAAACTGGTTTGATCTGTCGAAGAAGGAAAAGAAAGAGCTCCGGTAAGTTGAATGTATATTTGTTTGCAGAATACTGTGCTGATTGGGGCTAGCTAAATGTTGGTTGTACACAGTGACGTACACCGCATGAGAAGTCCGAACATCAACCACGGAGTGTTTGAGGAGCTAACCCGCTTTTTTTTAACGACAAGCCTGATACGGTTCCGTTATCGTCGGCATTTAGTGCGCAGCCTCGCTCCGACGATAATAATCCAAGCAGCTACAACCATTGGCGGGGATTGACAGCCTGTTTGGTGGGAACGCTAAGGCCGTCCAAGACCCATACTACACTGGCACAAGGAATTTTAAGTGCAACAAAGACAGCAAGCTCGACGACGTGAGAGAGATTCTCGAAGAATGTTCGAAAGAAATGTTTGAATAAGCAAAGAAATTAAAACAACAGGAGATGCGTGAGCACCGAGATCAGCACGCCAAAAGGATGACGCTTTTAAGAGAATTAATCTAATGACCCTTCATGGAGGACGAAAGTTCATCGGCAAGATTGACAATTTGAACCAATGAGGTGGTGCCATTTTTTGTAGAATGATTCTACAAAAGCTCCGTGAGAACCACTATACAAGTAGGTAAAACATAATAAACAGATTATAGTCTATGATTCGGATTGCAGACCAGATTCGAACCGCGCGCATCAAGCATGAAGGTGTGGAGCTTGTGACAAAACGTGGCTTCCCGTCGGTATCACTACAATGAGGATTGTCTGTAATATCAAACCGGTGCTACTTCTTGATGTGTGGCCCGTCCCAATTCGTCACCTCAATGCTTAAAGACAACCCAGAGCCTACGCGATGACATGGCTGCTGCCCGGATCAATTTCCAAATGACTGCGATTGATCGGCGCCGCCTGCCCACCTTTTTTCATGTGTGCTGCAACGGTGGAGCAATGACGAGCTTACGCAGGGAACGATTACCAGGTGACCAGGCCTTCCGATAATACAATTGCAATGAGATTCTTGTTTTTTGTTAAATCAGTACTTGTAGGGAAACATTTGACATGGCAAATACGTTATTGTTTTGATAAGAGCAATATCATTTAACTACTTCCAAGATACATTGCTGGTTGGTGAAGGGGTTGTCAAAGGCATGGTGAATTGGATAATGAAGAGGACTGAGCTGGATGCAATCCCAAACCCACCAAGCAGTGGTGCGTAGTTTTGTAAAGCATGGGCTACAAATAATTTATGACGATACTAGAAATACCTTACTGAATTTTTTTATCACAGCTGAAAAATAATTTACTCCATTCAAATATTGCCATCTGCAATGTATTATTCGGAAGGTCTGCAGGTGACAAGGTCGACGAGGTTGAAGTGAGCCGAAGGCACAATCTACTTGGTCCCACCAGGCAAACAGGGTCTCACTTGCCAATTGGAGTCTCACAAGCTTCCCACTCTTAGGGTTGAAGTCGGGAAGTTTCGAGGCTGGGGAACCGATGTGGGATCTCTTGACTGGAAGGCTCGGTAACGGACGCAATTTCCCGGGAGTGCGATTCATTCTGTGCGTGGCAGTCACAGACTGTTTGGCGACCGCGGAGTACAAACTGTACACGGTGGAGCGGACTCTCAAACGAGTGCTTCACTCAATGGGTCTGCTTCACTCCGAGTGAAGCAGACCCATTGCTCGAATTGGCTACCGTCCGTGTAGAAGCACCACATACGGTGGTAACCTTTGACTCCTACGAGTTGTTGAGTCTTGCACCTGGACCTGCTATTCCACAGGATCCGCATACAATGAACAGTTTTCAGCTCCGACTGATCTGTACTGAGGTTCTTTTGGAACGTCTTGCCAATATTACTTCAAAGTACTATGAAATACAAGAAAGTAAGTGAAATTAAGCATGAGCCTATAGAGTAGCTTGTGTGACTTAACCGCCTGGGTCTCATTCCTCTTCTTCTTCTGCTACTGGTGATGGATCTTCGAGTAGATCAGGCTGCTCGACTGGGATCTCACAACGCAGTGTAGACTTTCCCTCTTCCGCGTTCTCCTCACTCAAGCCCACACAACTGCCAGTCTGCAGTCGCTGCGGGGGAGCCAACTGGAATGGTTCCGAGAGATACTTGACTCCGTGACCCACGTAAGCGTTCAGGAACTTCTTGCCCACTGCGATGCTCACAGCTCCGGGCCACACGAGACTCCGTACAACCGCCACCTCGCCTACCGAAGGCTGCAACGTCCCTGGCAGTCGGTCAACTCGCCACGACATTGGCTTGTCCTCACTCAACGCTCGTAATGGCGGTACGAACTCCCCACCTTCACGTGGCTCCTCCTCCCCGTCAGCGTTCGTTAGCGGTGGCATGGGCGTCATACGACCGTAACGAGCGTTAATCTCTTTCGTGTAGTGCGTCCAACTACCTAAGTCCAGTAGATCAGCTGTCGCTTTGATCTCTGGTTCTTCAACCGGCGTAATGTCTCCTTCCTCGTTCACTTCAAAGTACCCAGCAGGACACAATACCGTTCCAGACGAGATACGAGCGATCTGAGCTCGTAAGTAATTCTTCTCCACACCTGGAAACGGTGGGTGGCCTAGAACTGGCGCCTCCAAGTCTCCTCGAACATACCGACGAAGTTGTCGCGCTGCTAAGATCTGATCACGTCCAACTGGAGGCAACTGGACCCACTGGTACATTCCGTTGTCTTTCATGGCCCAATACGTGAGTTTGTTGGCTCCGGTGGCACTTTCCTCGGCGTCTAAATCTTCGGGTTCATATGCAGTAGACAGCTCCCCTTCAGCGACGTAATAGTCTGCTCCACGACCTAGAATCTTGCCCCAGAAGCGCATATTTACAGTGTTGTTAGATTGCGCTAAGCGCTGAAGAGCCAGCGACAGTCGAAAGGTCTCTCCCTTGGAGAACCCCAGGCCAGCCCACTCGAACATATTCGCTTCATCCAATAAATCCGCTACACCGGTAGCAGCCTCGGATGGAGCGTCGTCTTGTGACTTAAGTTTCAGAAGCTCCAAAGCCACATTGCACCAGTTTTCTTGGTGTGTTTGCTAATAAAAAAAAAACTTTAAAAACAATAAGACAGAAGAAAACTGAAGTTCACGTACTGCTTGTTTCTTATAACTTGACAGTTGCGAGTCTCCGTCAGTCGGTGGTAGAGGTGGGGCTAAGTAGCGTTGTTGCTTGACTGACGTCGAGATGTTCTCGAACATCTCGTGAAGGTTTTCTGGACGTTCAACGATGATCTTCAGTAACACGTCTCCCAAATGATCATAAAGGTTCGTCCCGTCAGGTGACTCCTTCTTCAAAAAGGCCTTGGCTTCTTCCAGCGTTGTCATTGTCGTTCAACTATCTGCTTCACTCGTGGAAATGTGAGATAACCCAAAGCAAAGTCGATGAACCGTCGCCTCGTGACTGGAAGATTTTCAGGCGGTTAACAGCATTAATTCTGGGATTATTTTAAATAATACTTAGTATTTTAAAGGAGCAGTTTTAATGGTAACCAGCAGACCCGACGCCCTCCCATGCCATGGTATTGAGGTCTTCGCCAAAGTCAGCCCCAGAGTCGTCGTAGTGGTTAATACCTGGGGACGATGTCGTCGCAGAGCTAGCTCTTCGCGCTGAAGCTCCAGTTTTTTTAGCTCTCTTGCCTCTCGTGCCTCCTGCAGAGGCTGGACAGCAACTCGGTTAGTACAACGAAGAAAAAGTTTCAATTTTCGAACCTCGTACCTCGTCGCGGCGAAGCTGAGGTTTTCCGCTTCTTGCTGCCTTTGCCGGCCTTACCACGTTTACTAGACGCTGGTGCCTCTCCTGCTTCCTTTCGAGCAACATTTCGCTTGCGTTTCCGTGACTCCGCTTGTCTTGTAGCTAGACGATCGGCGTATGACTTTCTGGATCTGAAGTATGCATAGAGAGGTTAATACCATGCAATTATTGGCTACAACGCAGGTTAACTCGCACCTCTGGCCTGCGAACATCTTTTTGTAGTTGATTCGACATCCGTAGTCGTTGCGTAGGTCTTCCATGCACACGAAATGCTCGAATTCCTTTAGCTCTGATCGCACTGTCAGTGGACGTGGAGTGGTTAACGACATCGCAGGCTGCTTAAAAAAAAGAATAACATTAAAAATACTCGAGCCAACAAAAATCGTAGCAGAGAGTTGTCTAACCTCATTGTCGGATATATCTTCCAAGTAGTCAGGATCGGCATCAGCTACTTCATTTGGAGCGTCGTAGGCTTCAAACTGGGACAAGTCTGCGTACGGATTCTCGAGATCACTGCGATTCAAATAAAGGTTAACCTATTAAAAGCAACCGTCTCAGTGCAACAAAACGCACTCTTCGATAGTGTAGCTGGGTTTGCGCTCCAATGGGCTAGAAGACAGATCGACAAAGTGATCTTCTGGGATCTCCTCTTCTTTCCAAATCAATAAAAATTAGTCACCATTAAATGAATACAATAGCAACTCAAGCTTACCTGTAGGTAACGACGAGTCGCATAGTTCACATCGCTTGCGTCCAGGTGCGTTGATGTTTGTGCACACGGGACATTGTGGTCCTTTTGCAGCAACCTTCTTGGGTTCATCCCGAGAACGGTCACAAAGTTCACACCTCGTAGTTCCCGGGGCATTAAACGTTGCACATAATGAGCACTTCCATCTCTCGTTCGAGCCTTCGTCTTTCTTTCTTGTACTTAGACACATCAGGCAGTCCGTGGCATCGGGCGGGTTTAAATTGGTGCAAATATGACACGCCCACCTCAAGCTCGGTCCTTCTGTAGGCTCTACTGTCAGTGGGGGCTCTCGATAGCGTTTAAAACTGCAGCTTGAGCACTCCATCTCAGTCTGGTCATTCATGTTTGTGCATATCTGGCACACCCACTTATCTTCCCAAGAATTATCACCATTCTCGTCATTCTGTCGTCTTAGTAGCTTCGGTTCGTCTTCTTCGTCTTCCGAATCACTCAAAATCAGCCCTGCACTCGCCAATTTGTCATCGATTTCGGTCTCTTTAATGTGAACTCTGCTTGCTGGCATGAAATCTGGATAGCGAGGTGAAGACGATAATTCCAAATCTTCGTCCACTGCGACCCCTCCATCTCGGCTATTTGTCTCATCTGTTGTGCATGGATCGTTCACTGTAGTTTCCACTGCAAATACCGAAGCTCCTGACCCCAGTAGATTAAAGCAGGGCTCCTCCATCGCTATATCCTCTTCCTCAGCCTCACCTTCGCTCATTCTATCGTGTTGTTTAGTATTTTCTGGCTCTACGGTGTCATTAGCGTTCGGTGCTTGAATTACAACCTGTGTTGTCTGTTCCTCGGTCCTTTGTGCTACTGTTGAGCTTTCGTTGGGCGTTATTGTATCAGTGTCAACCTGTTCCCTTTCCACCTTCCTCTCTGCGTCTAAACCCGCATAAGGCCGCCAAATCCCGCGTCGTCTATTCACTACGAGTCTTGGTTCTTGTCTCCATGCACTAGTAGCCCCTAAATCGCTCTGATTTCCGGGTATTGAACTGTAAAATACGCCTGCACTTGGACGATAAACGAACCGCACTTCAGGGGATGTAGCGACGGCTGTAGACGGTTCTAGAGGCTGAGAGTTTCTCAGCTGTTGCCCTATTGGTCGGGCATTGTCACAAGCTGCGCAGCGTTCTTCCTCCGCTGCGTTGAGAAGCGTGCATAGAGGACAGCTCCACTCCACTCTGAGCATCTCTTGCTTCCGCGTCCGCGCCATTTTTCAAAACTCTTTGCAATTATTACCCGCGCTAAATAAAGCGAAATGATTGGATAATTAGTGTCAAATTCGGATTGGATAAAAGACATTGTGAGCCTACTCAATTCAATAAACCGCGTACTATTATTACAATAGTTAAAAAAATCAATGTGTAGCCATTCTACAAAAATGGCTACATCAAGCGTCTTGAAGCCACTCATGCTTCAAGAGCTCCGCTGCTGATGGACGCGACTCCGGAGAGATGTCCAACATGCTCTGCACGAACCTTTTAGCGGCTGGAGATACCGAGTCCCACTGTGGCTGATCGTACCACACAGCTCCGAGACTGATGAGCTTGAACAGCTCCACGTCGTTCTTGGCCTCATCGAACGGCACTAGGCCAGTCAGCATCATGTAGGCAAAAATGCCTGTACTCCAGATGTCAGCCGGGGTGCCATGTAGGCGACCTGATACCAGCTCCGGGCTCAAATATTGCGGAGTGCCGCACATAGTTTCGAGACGACGATTAGCCAGCTGCAGCTCCTCCGACAGACCAAAGTCCGCGAGTTTGGCAGTCACCGAGCCGTCGTCGTTCTCGGAGAGTAAGACGTTTTCAGCCTTGACATCTCGGTGCACTTGGCCCATAGCGTGGCAATACTCTAGTGCAGACAATGTCTGCTTTAAAATCTGTTTGGCTACTTGCTCTGGGACGACATGTTGCTCGTCGATCATCTTTCGGACACTGCCTTTGTTGCAGTATTCCAGTACTAGCAAATATTTGCCGTCTTCGTTATAAAATCCATAGTGGGAGATGATGTTGGGGTGTTTCAGACGGTTAAGTGCGCCCACTTCGGCGATCAACACCTCGCAGCCTTCCTGAGTCAGAGCGTCGTCCTTTATAGACTTGACAGCTACAGTCTCACCTGTCTCGCGGTGTGTAGCTTTGAAGACGGTAGAGAACTTACCCGAACCAAGTTTAAGACCTAGATCGTACGTGTCTTTAAAGTCCGGCACAACCTCAACCGTCTCCTGTCGAATACCGATGTTGTCGAGTTTGTGCACGGCCTGGGAGGCAGCAACGGCGTGGTCGCTCATAGTACTGACGAACCGATGGATCAGACTCTGGCCATCCGACTTGTGAGGGAACGACCAGGACGTCAAGTTCTCGTCTACTTCGACACATTTGTTGATTCCAGCGATCCGCATCACCTTCTCCAGGTCTTGGTCGCTCACATGTGAGCCACGGACTGTAGCCCACGAGCGAGGCGGTAACACGCCTTTGGGCACACCTGCCCTCTCCAGGTAACTCTTGGGCATCATACGGATCACTTTAGCACCCGGACACAGGAGTTCCTCGACTTGTTGAGCTGGTAAATCGCCCATGAGACTCACGTAGAGTGTGTGGGCGTTGGTGGCGTGGGTGGCCAACGCCTCACGCGCGCTGGTGCCCAGAAATACGAGGTCGCAGTCGGCGAGCACATCCTGATTGGTCTCACTGGTGGTGAAGCCCAGACGGTGGAAGACGCGACGCCGCTCCTCGGACGGGTCCGAGGCCAGCAGAGTGGACACGAGACGCTGCTTCTTGTAGCTGAATTTGCGCTGCGGCGCCACGTTCTTTACCAGGTCGCGAGCCACGCGCTCGGCCAGACGCCCGGAGCCGATGAAACCTACGCTAACGACTGGCATTCCGACGAATTTTTGTTGGAGAAAAAGCGAAAGGGCTTGAGAGCTTCGAGGCAGAATGGCAAGTGAAAAGCTGGGCTCTTGCAGTTGTGTCTCTTCTGTCTTGGCTTTGATTGATTCCTAAAATGCTGATTTGGTAGGTTTGGAATTTGTTTTGCTTGAAGTAGCTTGGGTTGAGTAAGGGATTTTTTTACAGAAGAAGGGTGGTTGATTTTGAGGGCGTTTTTTTGCTGCTGTGAAGTGCAATATTATTACTGTACGCCTTCGCGGCTTCAGTGCAGTTTAAGTGTGCGAGGAAACTATTATAAACGGCAACTTGCATGTCACCTTTCAGTTTGTGAGCCTTACCACGAGCTCTTATATGCGAAAACACGTGATCGGTCAATAAACTTCACAACATTTGGTAGCAAGTTACACAACTGGTAAACCTTATCCGTAGATACGCCGCCTTCGCATCTTAAAAAAAAGATGGCCGTTGGCAACGGCGTTGGCTTCCATTGCCTAATGACATTAAAAGTAACAGTGCCGGGAGCTGAGATTCGACCAGCCGATCGGGCAAATCGCGGTCAGTTTAATTTGCGATGAATGGACGCAATCCTCGCCAAAACCACTCTTTAGCATGTAAACTCCTTGGCTGAAGCTGCCCGCGACAGGCACGCCAAGACGCAGGCTGCAGCGAGCTCTCGCAGTGTATCCATGTCCGTCGGATTGGATGCCACCGTTAGATTTGCAGTGATTAGGCGCCAGGGCAAGATCGAGTCAAATGAGTTTTTGTGTGAGCCGATTCCGATTGGGCCCCTATGGCCATCACCAGGTACGCGTCACCAGAATCTGCATAAAGTTTCGCTAAATGTCGGTCATGATACACCTGGACTGACGACCACGCCTGCGTGGTCGAAAATCCTGCGCTGTCACATGCACAGGGCCTGTGAGCGTGGCAGCGCGCATCTCTGCGTCCGTCGTGCAAGCGTTTGCGCGCGCGCCAGGGTTGGCCGGGAGCATGTCAGCGTCTAAAGAGCATCTGCGTCTATTGCTTCCTTCGAAACGAATCCTTCCTAAAACTGTAGCAAGCGCCCTAAAATAGTCGACACCTTCCTACGTGGCCAACGTTGACGAATCTCCTTCTGCTTGGTGCGTAACGGATTGTTAAACCAGCAGCCGTTCGCACGTTGAAGGTAGCCAAGTTCAACGCGTTGCGGAGTTTCAAGCGCCACGGCTCACGGCTGCTCCTGCACGTCGTCCTTGGGCTTCATGGCAGGGAACATGATCACTTCCTGCAAGAAATAACGCCACCATTAGAATATGTGCGAAGAAATTGTCACAAACTGTAGGCATATTTCACGTACCCTTATATGTGGCTTGCCCGAGAGCAGCATGACCAGGCGATCCACGCCAATGCCAAAGCCGCCTGTGGGTGGCAGTCCATACTCGAGGGCCGTGCAGAACTCGTCGTCCTTGCTGTGTGCCTCGCTGTCGCCGCGCTGTTGATCTGCCTGCTGTGCAGCGAACCGCTGACGCTGGTCGAACGGGTCGTTCAGCTCCGTGTACGCATTACACAGCTCCTTACCCGCTACAAACAGCTCAAAGCGTTCGGTCACGCCTTCTTGCTCGCGATGTGCCTTGGCCAGCGGACTCATACACTTCGGGTGGTTATACAGGAATGTCGGGTTCACACACTTGGGCTCGACAAAGTGCCCGATGAGTTTGTCTACTAGACGTGTGCACGTGTGCGGCTTTGCACATTCCACGTTGTGGCGCTCGCACAAGTCCAGCAGCGCTGGGATCGAGTCTATAGCATAAAATACATGAACGTGAGCATACAAAATAGTCCTGATATTCACAGTTTTACTGTCGTACCTGGAGAATTGACGTCCGGGAGCTTCTCACCGAGGCATTCCTCTAAGGTCTCGAGGATCGGGAGGCGCTTGAACGGCGGTGTAAAGTCGATCTCCACCATAGCAGACTCGTCCTCAGCGCCTTCGGTGGTCTCGTCCATAGGGTATTGGATCTTGTATGCTCCAGTCACGTTCTTGGCGATACCTGAGATCATTTCTTCTGCGGTGTCCATGAGTGTGTTATAGTCTGCGTATGCCTGGTAGAACTCGCATATAGTAAACTCTGGGTTGTGTGTGGCGTCGATGCCTTCATTGCGAAAGACTTTGCCGATCTCGAATACGCGGTCGAAGCCACCAATCACAAGTTGCTTCAGGAACAGCTCCGGTGCAATGCGTAGGTACAAGTCTTTACCGAGTGCACGTGAGTTGGTCACGAACGGCTGAGCAGCCGCACCGCCCGCCGCCGAGAACAACATCGGCGTCTCAACCTCTATGAAGTTGCGGTCTTCCAGATATTTTCGAATTCCTCGCACCACTTTCGCGCGCGTCTCGAAAATCGGGCGCACACTTGGATTCGTCAATAGATCCAAATATTTCTTGCGGAAGCGGATTTCCTATTTAGGCAACACATCGATCAGTACTTTAATTGTACAATCAGAAACGTTTGCACTCACCGGCTCCTTAATTCCGTATTTGCTGTTCGGAAAGGGCTGGATGCAAGGTGCCAGCACTTCCAATTTCCGCGGGATGATACTCAGCTCTCCTTTCCCAGACTTACCCGGAAAGCCCTTCACGCCAATGATATCACCGCGACGCAAACTTTCATGCAACGCTTTAAACTCTTTCTTTGCCGCTTCCGTATCTTCAGCAGCTTCGTCACTGCACCCTTCAAAGTGTTTCACCTCTGACAGAACTTGCACCGTGTGGCCATCGCTCTGGAGATCTACGAAAACGAGATTCTTGCTGGCATGACGAATGGCAACCACGCGTCCTACAGCGATAGCGCTTAGTAAGAATATATGAGCTAGCTGACAAACGAAGTAAACATTGCCACGAACCTGCCAATGCCACAGCCTCCTCTGTGCATCGAGCTTTCGGTTCCAGAGCCTCAAACTTCTGTTGATATTCCAGCAGTGACATGCTCACAGGGAAAGAATGTGGGTATTGCGTGAACTTCGGGACGTCCTGGAAACGCTCCATCGCTTCAACCGCTGACACGGTCGGTGCTGTCGATAGCAGACGCCGAGCAAAGGCACCATGGCGTAGCCACACGTTGCGTAGCATTATTGAAATTGATTCGCACAATTCCAAAGGCAAAAACAAGGTGGACCACATGAGAGTTGCGAAAAATTCTACAGTACCGGTAGTTGAAGTCGATAAAAATGGCAAAAAGGCAACTTCCGTTACTGAAATAGAGATGCCAACACCTTTCACGCCCGAGATGTCTAGACGGAGCGTAAGGGAGCGCAGGTACCCGGCAACAGGCTTTCTGTCGCGATGTACTCCGTTCCATGGTATCCCGATCCACTATCCACTGCGGACACAAGTGCGTATGAAGCTCAAGTTTTCTAAGCTCGGCACAGCATGGGAGATCTTTCAAACTTTTTTCGCTTTGCTGGTATCTGCTGCGTACGTGGTACAAACGTACATGCCACTAGACGGTCGAGTACCGACATTTGACGCTGTTGCAATGGTCGTCTTTTCTGCGGACTATTTCCTCAATCTTTACTGCTGCGAAAACCGATGGCAATTCATCACAAGCGTCAACGGAATCATGGATGCGCTTACTATTTTCCCAGCTCTAGTGGATCAAATCGACGATGGACACAGCAAGTCTTTGCCCTTTATTCGCTTCGTTCGCGTCATGCGTATGCTCCGACTTATTCGTGTCGTCCGTGTAGCAGGGTCCCAGACAGTATCTGCCGTACAGAAGCAAGTTTACACTATTATCCTACTTACCACGTGCCTTATTTTCGTCGCCGCTGGAATTTTTCATGCCGTCGAGTCCAACGACGGTGCTCAGCCTCATTTAACCTTCGGTGAGGCTCTTTACTTTATCGTAGTTACTATCGCTACTGTGGGTTATGGTGATATTGTCCCCGTCACATCGGCAGGGCGAGCTGTGGCTTTGGGTGTTATCGTCGTGTCTTTTACTGTAATTCCCACCGAGATCTCGCGTCTCACACATCTCATGGCATTGCAGTCTCATTTCCGTACAACGTATCATCCTTTGGTCGGTAAGCCACACGTTCTGGTCGTCGGACATGTCATGGAGCCTCGTTGTTTGTTGAATTTCTTTCGAGAATTTTACCACCCGGACCGTGCACTAGGCTCCATGACCTCATTTGCCGGTCCAGCGGGTACACAACACGAGGTCGATCCCTCGGTAGTGGAGCTCCCTTGCGTGATTGTCGGTCCAAAGGAACCCACTGAAGAGATCATTAACCTATTAGACCATCCAGTACTCCAGAACCGCGTGACCTACATCAAAGGATCAGTCATGAGTGAAGAAGACATGTGTCGAGTCGGCGCTGATGCTGCGCGTGCGTGTTTCGTACTGGCCTCAAAAGCCGCAGCTAATACAAAACAAACGGATGCTGAGACCGTGATGCGTTTACTGGCGATCCGCAACTACAATCCGGATTTGCCAGTGTACACGCAGATCGTGAGTCCAGTGTACTTGGACTACATCAGCGGCGTCGACGCTGATCAATTATTGTGCTTAGATAAGATCAAAATCAGTCTACTGGCCAAGAGTTGTCTGTGTCCGGGACTTGTCACGTTGATCAGCAACTTGTTTCGGTCTACTACACTCGTAAACCACCAGATCCTCACCAATTGGGAACAAGACTATGCGGAGGGGATGGCACTTGAAGTGTACGCTACCACCTTGCCGTCAGTATTCCACGGTCTCACCTTCAGTCAAGCATGCGAACTCCTGTACAACATCTCGTACGGCGAAGTCATCTTGCTAGCTGTTTACGAACAAACGAGCGTTTCGTCACCGAAAGCCACGACCCAAAAGACTGAGAAAACTGTGCCACAACTTCGACGACAGTGTTCGTGGATGCATCACGTGGATCGACCTGCCCAAATGTTGAGTAACCCAGGAAGCTCAGTGATCATGCACTCTGGTCAGTTAGTGTACGTGATGAGCGAGAGCAAGAAGTTGACACTAACGACGTCCATATCGAACGAATTGAAAGCTTGGCTGGCGAAAGGCAACGTCCTTCCCGCACGAAAAAGTAAACCCAATTTAGTGCCCAAACGTACGTCTCCAAGACACGTTACTCTTCCACCAGCTGCCCCATTCATCACTCCAGAGTCAGTAGAAACGAGAGAAATGGACGCAATGCTCATCGAAGAGGCAGTGTATCCGTCCACAGACGACACCATCCGCAACCACATCATCGTCGTGTCAGATCTCGACGTCACGTCCACAGTCTCATTCGCCCAGATGTTGCGTTTGGAGCGTCATGTGCCCGGTAGTAGCGACTACTATCCCATCATCTTCCTGTCGTGGTCTTCAGCTAAACGTGCAGTGGCCACTTGTCGTGAGCTACGCGAGTTCGACGACATATTCGTCATGTTGGCGACTGGAGACTCGAAACGCGAGCTGCTTCGTGCTAATATCCTCGACGCCAGTCGCTGTGTCGTGCTTGCGGATAAAGCAAACATCCAGGATATCGACGGTGAGGCTGTAGACAGTCAAACCATCTTCCACTACTTGGCGGTACTGTCGATCCAGGCTGAATACGGCATGGACACTACGTCTGGTCTGATGCCAATGGTCGAGTTGAATATGCCCCGTACGATGCAGATTCTCGACTCCACATTGAAGAAACGTACTGCCACCTCCTACCAGTATCGTCAACAACTTGACTCTCTCATGATTCCTACCACTCCCGTCTCTTTAACAGAATATCCAAAGGCTCATGACCACTGCGTGTCCGACGATATCAGCGACATCAAGCGCAAACTCGGTAAGGCGAACGTCGTCAAGAACATGTACATGCGCGGCGCAGACAACATCATCAGTCTGGACCAACAAGTCAAGCTCAGCAAACGCATCAACTCGAAGCGAACGCTCATCAAACGCGAGCTCGAGTCCACTCGACGACATTACTTTGACGTGCGTCGATCAGCCTTGCTGCCGTTCTTTGCAGCCGGCTATGGCTTCGCTGACGACATCTTCGACAATATGCTTTGTCAGAGTTTCTTTACCCCTGGATTGATCCGGTTGATCTACGAACTCCTCTTCTCGGAGAATGGCCGTCCTGCTGCTTTATCTGGCAATGACAAGGCGTTGTCGTCGTGTACTGCGAGTTCGATAGCGCAGATCCCAGTGCCGCTGAAGTTTGTGCAAAGAACCTTTGGAGACCTGTTCCTCCACTTGCTCTCCACCAAGGAAATCGTCGCTATCGGGTTGTATCGAGGCACAGACACGCCGTTCCAGTTGCCATACGTAGCCACGGGGCCAGACAGCGACACAATTCTGGTCGACGATGACCTCGTGTTCGTCCTTGCACATCCAGCTGCTCTTGATTGTAACAACTCTGATCGATGGAGGCAACAAGAGAAGACGAGCCATAATCAGGTAAATTTCTACGAGAGACAAGCTATCAACACACCGTCAACAGCGGGCGATCCACGCTTGCCACCGCTGGCAATTAGCTCCAAGACAACTGCTCTGTTTCGGGGGAACGTCAACAAGTAAGGAGCTCAAATACTCGCGATACGTCACGTCGGATATGAGCATTTGATTGGCCGTTTAAACCGTAAACAGCTTGTTCAAAATCACTTGGTTGTTAGTGATCGTCGTTCCTCCGAGGATGAGTTGATACTTGGTGTTGTCGCTCAACACATCGTGCACTTCTTGGATCTACAGCAACATTCGCTGGAGTCAATGTACCCACTAGTCATAATAATGCCAGGCTACAAAAACTTACCTCTTCAAACGTGACACCGCCCACTACAAATACAACAAGGACGTTCGCATCTCCCAGCAGCCGACTGCTTGTGGTTCCGCGTTGGCCACCGCCGCTACCGCCGAATCCAAACTTACTGAAGCCACTCTTCAGGAGGTCAATACCTGCTCGTGTCAGCTGTTCGGACGCATCAACAACCTACACAGCAGAAAGAATCAGTGTCAGGGCCATGCTACGGGGTGTCGATATGTCAACGTACGTGTTGCATCTCTGGAATCGCTGCTGACGATGGGTCCACAATCGAGCTACAGAGCTGTGCAAGCAACGAACGCGGGGATTCCTTCGCTGCTGCTGTATCGCTAACCTTCACAAACTGCTGCTGGCAATCCTGCCGCGAAAGAAAAGTATCGAAAATATCGTGTCAGCAAACTCAAGTGTAGCTCCAACGTACTCAGCCAGAATTACCTTCAAAGGATCCATCAAGCTGTCCACGTAGGTTTCGATAACCGCCTTCGCTTCAGTCAGTTGAATGCCACTGCCACTATCAGAGGCTTCTCTCGATGGAGTTGGGGAACTGCCATCATTCCAATCCCAATTATCACCTTCAGTGTCATGCTCAGTAAAGTGTCCAGCTGGTGCCCCACTTGTCCTGATGAGTGGAGATAGCTGCGTAAATAGCTCCGGAAGTGCCGCTTGCACCGACAATGGAGTCGTTTGTACCGCCTACAAGAGCAACAAAGGACAGTTTAGTGACAATACCCGTAGCACAACCAGACTTTACAAGCTATTACCTGCACAACGCTGTCCACAAGAGCTTTCCGAACCATCTGGATGGTGAAATCTTCCACCGGTGTGCCAGCCGAGAGCGCGAACGCATTCGCCAATAGCGTCAGTAAATCCTGTAGAGGAGAGAATTCCTCGCTATCTCCCGCTGTCTTGGACTGCATCGCGGACACTTGGCGCTGCATAATGTCAGCCATCTCAGGTAGAATCCACTCGGCTCCTCCTTGTTTGCACAGCTCCAGTTGACGCACTGCGCGCTCATGACATTTGTCCCATAGGCTCTGCGATTGGTCCATTCTCTCCAACGCTTCCAATACGATCACACCGAGCTCAACTAGTGAGCTGTGCTCCAGATTAGTAGGCTCTCCAGCCTCGAGAATCTTGCTGATACGACGCAGAACAACGTCACGGCCACGCACTTTCTCTCCTGGTCTACGCGTTACTGCGGCAGTCTCAAGCTTCCCCTGTTGCAGTAACGTTTGTTCCACCGCTTGGAGCCGCTTATCGAGATCTCGGAGCGCCAACTTGGCTGGTCGAAAGGCTAAAGATCGAAACACATTCGAGCCGCTAGGAATCGTCGGATGGCACAAACTCGCGCCTCCTTTCCACTGGATTTGGGCAACAAACTCCGACGGTTTGTAGCCAGACGCATCAAACGCCGCAGCAATTGTCAATGGCGTCGGCTCGCATCCATGAAGCGGGAAAATCTCCGTCACATTCGGTCGTTTCTTAAGTGACACACTCAAATCGTCAATAAAAGGACCGTGATATACGTTGATTCTCGACGTACTGTAGCGCTGTCTTGAGCCGTATCCTCTCCACTTGTAGTATGTGTTGGTGTCTGGGGTAAAAGGGCCAGAATTCGATCAAGGAGAGAGCTCCCGAACGAGCACGGCGAGGCCAAGTCAGCCGTCCTAGTAGCACAAAACACACATGTCAGTTTCCTCTCCATAGAAACACTAGCAGCGTTGAGTCTCACCGATCGATGATGACCATAGAGGCCGTCTGTTGTCCTTGCAACATTTGAGGGGTTGTATCTTCTTGTAACTCGTTCAAAATCCGAAGTAAAGTGTGTCCAATCTTCAGTGACGTCGCTCCCACTGCAAATATACGCTCCTTCACATCCAGTTGCGCTCCAAGCAGCATCTCCGCTAGTGTGTACGCCAACAGTCTCATAGAGCGTCTAAACGCACTCGGAATATGCTCAGGCAGCACGTCTTTCACGTGTTTGTACCTCTTCCCTCCATCCACTGAGCTAAATCCTGGTCCACCACGTCCCGTAGGCGACGCAGGCGACGCCGTGCTGTTAGCTTCCACCTGGTGCAGCAGCAACGGGAACGCCGACGCACAGGTCGGGCGAGAGAGCACAAACAGCGACGGCTCTGGACTAAAGGTCTTGGTCGACAGGAGTGGCACCACGCTGAGCGGCAGATGAACGACTTGCACGCCGTTCTGGACATCTGCGGTCTCGTGATTGGCCGTCTTGGTGCCAGCATCATTCCAGTCCCAGTCCTCGTCTTCTCCTGATTGTTGCGCGGTCGATTTTGCCCTGTTTCCCACTGGGAACGTCACGTTCTTGCTAATTTCCGTTGTAAACTCCTCGAATTTCATGACTTTAGTAGCTCTGGCGCCTGTGGCGGCTAGTGCGGCGTCTCCACCTAATTTACTGAAGTCGTAGCACTCGTGCGCCCTCTCCGACAAGCTGCTGCAGACTGTGAGTCGGTGTACGACGCCTAGCGCTAGTAGCCGCTTTAGTGCAGCCTCATAGTCCCATAGGAAGCCCGAAAGTAGCAACGCTACGTGACAAACATTCTCGTTCTCCTCTAGCAGCAGCAGGTGTCGTAATTCTTGGGGAGACGCACAATTGAGTAGATCCGAGGCACAAAGCACGTTCTGCACGCCTAAATCGCGCAGTAGCAGCGGCATAGCTCCAGCCCAACGCAAGCTCTCGATGCAGCCGGTCTCAGCGGCTATGACAGCGCCTTGTAGCTGCTCTGCGGCCTGCAGCACGCCACCCACGACCTCTTCGGCCACGTTCACCACGCTCATCAGATCGAACACAAAAATGATCTGCAGACACAGAAAATAATGTTTATGATCAGTTGATTTTTTTAAATTGAGATTCTGTGGACCACATATTATGGAAGCAAGCGCATTTTTGTGACAGAAGCAGCCAAGTTTTTCCGGTGTGCTGGACGCTAGGACGATGAAGAAGGGCCAGGCAGTCATCTTGGGCTTCGGCGCGACGCTAGTGGGCGTGGCGGGTGCATTGGGTATATACCTGCCTCGATTCAGCACCATGGCGCAGAAGGGCCGCGAGCGGACGTCGCGACACGAGGCGGAACCTGCGCAGGAGAAGTCATCGTCCTCTATGTGGAAGAACATCGATAAGACGCGACGCGGAGAGTAACTAGACACCTACGAGCGAAAACGCTGGAATGAGTCCAACTGGATACAGAACAATAGATTCAAGACATCCTCTTCATTCTATAGTAGCAACCGAAACGCGTCATCGCCACTGATATCGCCGTCTGGAAGAGCAGACCAAAAGAAACCCAGCGCTTCAAGCTGCATGCGGTCGATCTCGATAAAGTCAGCGAAGTTTTTCCGTCGCATAGGGCTCGCTGCCAGCTCTCCTAGCTTCAGTCCATGCGACTCCTCTGGCCACGGATCCTCCGGTGGCACCACAAAGTCGACTGGGACGTTGGCATCGCCATACACACGCACGTAGGTATGCAACGCCGGGAGCACCGCGTATTGCCACTTGGCTGCAAATACGTTCCATACAAAGCCGATGCTTTTGAGTTTCTCATAGTCTCGCGCAACTTGTAGGAAAAAGTCTCCTCTGTTCCGAATGTTCCGTGCAATAAACCCAAGTCGCATGCCCCACATCGACTGCGGCCATGGCTCCTCTTCTGGTACAATAAAGTGCGTGTTGATGTTGCAGTTTCTATGGACACGATGATACATTTCAAAAGCAGGGAGGATGTTTTCTTGCCATTTTTGGTCGTTGCTATTGAGATAAAAACTCAATTGCTCCAGTTCTTCTCTGTCACGCTCCACAAATTCCACATAACCCGAAGCGGTTCGAGTACGGTTCACCATCGACCCCAGCCGGTATCCTTGCAGCTCTTTCGGCCACTCGTTGTTTTTCTCCTCTCTAATCACGAAATTCTGAGGTATATCAGAGTGACCATAGAGCTGTCGATATCGCCGAAGGGCGGGCATGAACAGCACGTCCCAATTGTAGTCTGCCACCACCCACACGAACCCAATATCGTCGAGGTCCTGAACCTGGTATGTCGTTAATTTCTCTCTCGTTTGACGCAGAAAATTTACATGAGAGCCCAATTTCAGTCCCCACGTGGGTTTCGGCCATTGACGATCTTCCTCAGGTACCACAAACTTGCGAGGCACCAGCAGATCGCCCTGAATTTGCTTGAATGTCTTTAATGCCGAAAGCGACTTCTGTTCCCACTGGAAGCGCTTCCAGTCGCGGATCTGGGGGAAACCAACGGTATCCAATTGGCGACGTATATTATGAAGCTCTGGCGAGCTCTTAAGGTTAGAAACATCGACGAATTTACGGATCTCGCGGCCCAAATTGAGCCCGTGCGTCTCCTGTGGCCACGGATTGCTGTCGGAACTTTGGGCTTCTTTTCGAGGCACCTGGAACGTGTAAGGAATGAGAAAATGGCCATTCTGTTCGTGAAACACTCGCAGAGCAGTGGCAAGCAACGAGAAGCGCTCCGGCTTGTGTCTGGAGCTCAGGAAGCGTCGAGCTCCGATTAGCATGTGGCGCCGTATCATGCCAATCGTAAAATAACGATTTATAAAAAATATTGTGTCTGAAATTGTTTTCTTAAACACAACATGATTGGATAAAACGGTTCCTACCAATCATCTGTTGAGCTCTGAGATGAAATATTAGGCAGTACCAATAACGTAAAAGATGAGCGGCGCTGCCGAAGCGGACGTGGCGGAGCAGCGCGCCATTAACGTCGTGTCCACAGCCGTTTCTGCGGTAGCTGCGGTGTTTCTAGGCGGAGGTACATTAGTTTACCAAGCAGATATTCTATCAGCGTCTTCATCACCGCCGATGCCCCAAAACATTGACCATCCTTATTGTGACATCAATGGTGCAGGCTTCTACTATGGCATGACCAAGCAAAAGAAGGCGCTGGAAGAGGAGGAAAAGAGTCTGGGCAAACCATCAGCTAGCAAAAAGAAGTTTGAGCCCAAGAACGCCACGTTTTTCGAGCGGAAGCTGGCATTAGACAAGCCTTTGGCACCCAGTACAGCTGCTCGGAAGGCTCTGCTAGGTGTGACGCTCACCTCCGTCACGGGCTGCTGCCTGTTGGTGGGCGGGGCCGCTGCCACTCTGGGAGTGACCAATGTGAGAGCCAATTAATTGCGGTCGGCGTGATAAATTACTGAGTTCTTGGTGCTAAATTGCTAGATGACGGGGCTTCGACAGCGACTACAGAAGACACACAAGAGTGTCGAGACCAAGCAGCTTAACTACAAGGGACTAGGAGAGGTGAAGAGGGAGATGTTAGACGTCATTGCCGACGAAGTGAAGCAGGATGAAGTGGAAGCAGCAAGAAAATAGACAGGGTGACCTCTGTACCATACTCGTTAGGTTACTGGCCTCTGAAGGCTTTCCAATCATACTCACAGCACCTTTGCACGGTCTCTCCTTACACGGATGCACTCTTTGTTCGCGTACTTTTCCAATGACAATCATATCTTGTAGAGGGATAGACAGCAATAGATCGTAGCTTGTGCATCACTATTAAATAGGAAGCATCTTCCTCCTGGAGACTTACGAAATTTGAACAAAGAGATAACTTTAATAGGCACGTAAACAGAAGAATTTTAACTGCTACTGAACATTTATAAAATAACGGTTATCTTTGTAAGTACCGGTACTTTCGGTATGCTAATATATGTAACACTTGCTCAGGTTATGATTAACGAATTTTTACATTAGCAATAAAACTGTAGTGTTTTGTACTAGTCAGATATTTGAGACCACGCAAAACAAAACGATTCTTATTATCAAGACAAATTTTGTCCTAATGATACTTTTGTGACAGTTTTAAGTCTCTCACTAGTGCGAGCCCAAAAATGGCAGCCGTGCGATGTGCCTTGATTGGCCAAAATATGCATACATGAATAATCATTGAATTACTGCATAGCTTATTTGTCAGCACCATGCGTGTGCATTTGAGGCAGATGACTAAAAGGGACGACAGTTTGGGTACAAATAAGGGATGACGGATACCCGAGACCCTCCTCCGAAGGTAAAATATTTTCGTTTTACCTTTTGCTGCTAAAACGAACACGAGACGAAGGCGCTAATGGACCTGCCAGCCACATGTCGACTCTACCAAGCCGCTGTCGCTGCAGCCCGGTTTGCGGATCAAAGACTCGAGAGCCGGACGCGTAGCGACTACAGCAGTAGTGTTTGACGATCCTCAGCGCTCTGCAAAAGCGAAGGCTACCCAGACCCACTGAAGAAACGATTTGTGGAGCTGCCCGGCTTGGTTGTCGTGTACATCAGCTTACTCGCCACCTCCAACTCAACTCAATGACCCGCTGAAAAGATTTGCGCTGCGCTTAACTGGCACTACACGAAACCTGAAATGCTAGCTGGTGGCCACTCACACGAATTTTTTGCTGAGACCTCTTCAAACGGCACCTTAGCACCTCAAGACTACCCGGCACGGTCAGCAGCCATCACGCAGATTCTCGCCGGTCTCAGCAAGTCCAAGAAGCACGAGCGGACTCCAAAGCGTGCGTCTCCGAAGTCCCCGTTGATGCTGACGAAGATCATTACATTCTTTAAGTCAAAATCGATGTTCAACGAAACTTTGCGGTTGTGGTTTTCTGCGGTTTGTTTCTCTCAGCAACTATGGTATGTGCCGTATCAACGAAATGAAGAAGGGCGACATTCAGCTTGGTCTCAAACGAAAATCGCGCGTGAATGACAGCTACATCGAGTTTGGCTGTTTCTCTATTCGTGACCGGATCACAGATCATGATCCCCTCGCAAGTCGAACCTACTCACTCCATCATCTTACGATGAAACAACGGGCAACTGAAGCGTTTACCTTCTTGGATAGATGGTTTACGTACGCGTGGAAGAAGTTTCGCCACACCTGGCGTGACAGTGACTACGCGTTTCCATCATTGATGAAGGTACCACGCGGCACATCCAAGAAGCGAAGGAGGGAGGCAGGTGTTTTGGCGAGCGGCGACTCTTTTGCTAACGTGGGAATAAAATGCGGCTCGCCAATGCCAGATAGCAGCTTTACTCAGGTATTTAACATTATCGCTGAGGCCGCTGGAATCAGCCGAAACGTAGTTGGTGACGAGATTTGGCTTACACCCACTGTTTCCGTCGAGGTGGTGCACAGTACCGGATCATGTCTGCCCCTGAAGATCGACGGTGGATACTGAAGCTCGTGAAGTGGTGGGCAGAGTGGGCACCAAGCGAAAATTCCAAAACAGTAACTAGATATCTGCTGAACGACGTACTGAGTCGAGAATCGAACCAGCTGGGCGACTCGCTGGCTCCGGACGCGACGTCATGCACTCTCGAAGATATACGGGATATCGACTTTGGAGGCTCCCATCTATCAGACGACACTACGCAGGATACTCAGCATACGACCGAATCAACAGACGCACAAGAGCACACAGATACCTCTAACACCGAGTTGGACGAGCTAAAGTCACTGCTTCAAGGGCTGCATTATATGGATGAATATCATCACTTATCGGACCTCACTTAAGTTTATTATCAGTTTTAATTGCCAATCATATATATATTTGTTTTGGATAACCAATCATTTCCAAATAATATGTCAGTCCTGGCCAATCAATCCCTCAAGGGTTAGGTTGGTCATCTAAACTCCACATCGGACGTATTAGGTCCGAGGGGCACGAAAAATATGTGTATCCCTTTACAAATATTAAGATGTCGCGTATCACACGCATATTTTCATTTTATCCGACCGGCGTAATAACTTCAGTACAAATGACTCCATAAGCGCTTTTAAAATTCGTTGTATTCATACCGTAGCAATTTCTAGAAAGCGCTTTAATGGCGACATGATTAAGAGCCTCTGTGATGACGAGATGCAGTAGCTACAATTGTAACTTCTACATTGCGCATTCTTATTATTGTACCCGTTTTTAAAGAGACATTGATAATTTGCGTCAATTACTCGGATATACTTTACATTATTTAACGCTCGCTAGCCACACACAACTACTATTAGCATCTAGCTCTACATCGACACGACGACCAGCGGTTGGGACAAGCATCTGGACTTGGTGCGCTCCCGCGGGCTACCAGCCGGCAGCATGCTTCCCTCCCTGCCGGGGGGGGGGGCAATAGCTCTCGTGGGGTCTGCACGGGGGTCTGACGGCGGCATCCTTGCTGCTGGTAGCTAGATGGCCTGACGAAACCACCGGAGTCCGCCCTTCGAAGTGCCACATGAAGGCACGCACTCAACGGGCAGCCTGCCGCCCGCCCTGCCGGGTAAGACATCACAGCCCTTGACGCTCCGCCCGCTGCTGATACCCCCTTCGCTTCTTCCGTCTTTGAACTCTTTCCTGTCCTTGCTGCCGTCCCTCTTGTCGCCGCCGCCACCCTCCTGCTGCATGCCGTCGTCGCCTGTCACACGTGCCGCCGCCGTCATCGCGCCTCGCCTCCTGTAATATAATAGTGTTTAGTGTGTGGGCCACAATATCTAATCCATAAACTAATAAATTGGTTTTTGAGGGTTTTGATATAGCGCACCCTAGTTTTGGTACAGGTCCGATAAGGTCATCCGGTCCGATAAATTTTGGTATGGTCAAGACTATTAGCGAGACACCGCGTTCAACCCAGGAACAGCTGTGTGGCGAAGATATTGAAGTGCCAGCGCCTGCTAATCTTGAGCCAGGATCGAATACGACAGCACTAGTGTCTAAACTTTCGGAAGTCAAGTCGTGGAAAGACTATGTTCATCAGCACTGGAATGGGAACCCGGACTGCCACTAGTATCGCGCGGGAGTTGACATGCTTTCACATGAACGGAACGTTCATCTTTCGTGTTTCTTCAGGATGAAGATCATCGTCGAATTCATTCGCGAGCAGTACGACGATGATCAAGACCAGTTCGAGAAGGACTTCCTAACATTCATTGGCGAGGAACTCACCGTCCCCTCAACAAGATTCTTAAGGCAATTTGTAAGCATAGGAGAACCAGTAATGTAGTACTGTCGTCCCTTATTGTACCATCGTCCTCTGTTGTACTTACCCCCTCAATTATACTGCTGTCGTCTCTTTTTGTACTGTCGTCTCTTATGGCACCCCTTATTGTACCAGCATCCTTTATTGTGCTATCGTCCCTTACTGTACTTTTGATACTTACAAATTCCAATACAAATTAAAACGACAGATTTGCACCTTCAATTTTTAAGCACCACCTCTCATACCTACCCCCCATCTTTAGGGAGCGTAATCGTCATCGCTGTCAGAAGAGCTGCTGAAGTCACTCGCGTGATATTCGTCGGCACTGTTGTCTCGGGAGAAACTAACGAGGGCCCTCATCAGGAGGGCCCTCGCACAAAACGTACACGGTTGGGATAGGCAGATGAGATAGTCAGTAAGTACCAGTATCGTACCGGTATAAAAACCGTTCCCGTTTCAAAAACCGTTCCCATTATAAAGCGTGTTCCCGTTACAAATCGCGTTCCTGTTACATCTACCACTCTCAGATCTCCCTCCAAAGCCTCAAATAGAGAAACTACCAACAGGGCCATTACATGGCTATCTGCCTGTGGGCCTTGTGCTTCCTGACACGGTAGTTCCGCCGGTCCTAGCGGAAGCCAAAGCGCGTCCGTACTACGGCGTCTTCAATCGCGTGGGTGGTAAAGACGACATCTTCCGACAGCAATCGCGCGTGAGCTCTCGCACCATGCCATCGCCTCTACAAGAGTGAGGCAAGGCTCTAAAGGTGGTTGTCGCCATGCTGCACCCTGGGTGAGAGCCTGGTATATTATCTTCCATACGGTCGGTGCCTGGGGGCTCAGAACAGGAGCTTCACCAAGACTACCAAGAGACTGACTTAGTGAGAGCCTGTAACCACCGCCCGGATGGTGTTCCAGCCAGCATGATTTTTGTTTTGGAGCCCGGCACGAAGCGCCGCATCTATGCTGGTTGCTTTACTGCGAGAGACAACTCCAAGGCGCGCGTCGTGGACATTCTGGTTGGACTCTGTGTTATGCTCAGAGGTGACCTTATACACAACGGAATGCCGTACACCACGAGTAACTACCGCATTCACTGCTACCTTACCTACTCAAGGATAAAATAAACACCAGATATCGCTCAAGACGCACTTCCTGAACACAGTGAGTGTATGTTTTGTGGCGAAAAGGTGAAAAAGGGTCAAGCAATTCGGAAACAACGCTTTTACTGCGAGAAGAACCCCAAAGGGGCTGCGAACAAACAGAAGCGCAAACGTGAGTACGAGGAAGGTGAGTACAAATGTGAGGTGTGCGATAAGGTGTTGAAGCACCAAGAGCTCGCTACGAGCCCACAAGATGAGGGAACACTCCGCTTAGAATTG